TGAATCCCGACCAGCAGCAGCGCCAACACAGCCGACCTCCTCAAAGCCTGGCAGCCGGCCGAAGCCGTCCCAGGGCCCTTCGCCGGAGTCCTTTCCACCTTTCACCGGAAGCCGAACGCCCTGAAAACAAACCTGTTCTAGAAGAAGGCGGAGCCGCCAAATTGTAAAAAAAGATGAAATCAAAGCCAATGCAACACGAACGGACCCCCGAAATCGGACTATGGACGCCGTACTTATATATAGAGAAAACCTGCATTTTGGGGAGAAGGACCTTCCGTGTATACTTCCTCATAGCCTCACGTGTCCGCACCAGGCCGAGACCGCGGCGGGATTACATGTACTGGACTGGGATCCAAACCGAATGTACATTAACCCTTCGCGTGCCCCACGGTGTCGCCCATCAAGCCGGAGAGCGATGTGTTCTGATTTATTTATTATTTATTGTATTTAAGTAGTTGTTTTTTTTTTCTTCAGTTCTTTTCTTTTTTTTTGTTGTATTTTTATTTTTAAAGAAATCCGGATTTGTGTCGCATATGAAATGTATCCTATATTTTTACCTCTTAAAGGAGAACACCGGGCTGAGCACACAAATACTTACAAATGATATATACTCTATATTACCAGAAGTATTGGGACGCCTTTACACGCACATTAACTTTATGGCCCCCCAGTCTTAGTCCGTAGGGTTCAGTATTGGGTTGGCTCCGCCCTTTGCCGCTATAACAGCTCCGCCTCTTCTGGGAAGGTGTCCACAAGGTTTAGGAGGGTGTCTATGGGAATGTTGGACCATTTGTGAGGTCAGGTACTGATGTTGGGGGAGGGGCTCGCAGTCTCCGCTCTAATTCATCCCAAAGGTGTTCTATGGGGTTGAGGTCAGGACTCTGTGCGGCCAGTCACGTTCCCTCCCCCCCCCAAACTCCCCCATCCATGTCTTTATGGACCTTGCTTTGTGCACTGGTGCGCAGTCATGTTGGGACAGGAAGGGGCCGTCCCCAAACTCCTCCCACAAAGTTGGGAGCATGAAATTGTCCAAAATGTCTTGCTGATGCCTTAAGAGTTCCCTTCACTGGAACTAAGGGGCGGAGCCCAACCCCCGAAAAACAACCCCCCCCCCATAATCCCCCCTCCCCCAAACTTTACACCAGGCACAATGCAGTCAG